GGGAGTAGGTAGGTGTGTGTGTTTGTGTGTGTGTGGGAGAGAGAGAGAGAGAGAGAGAGAGAGAGAGAGAGGGAGAGGGAGAGGGAGAGGTAGGGGGAGTGAGAAAACAAGCCACCAGGTCCAGGACTCAAACCATGGTCAGCCATGTGGAAGTCCAACAGCCTTAACCACCACGCTACCTGCTAGCACCCCCAGTTAGACACATAATTTTAATTCTTAACTATAGGTGGAAAGAGTCACGTATATTTTTTATGCTATAGCACCACTAGTTCAGAATTTTTGTGTATTCCATCTAGTCTTATTTTTGGACTTACAAACACAGCATATCTAGATACATACTAGCCTAATTTTTCATTGAATATATCATAAATATTTTAAGTGTCAGTAAATAGCCTTTATGCATTTCAAAAGCTTCATTGTTCTCCATGGGGCTGCTGTATCATAAATTAATCAACTCTTTCCTTATTGTTGGGCATTTAGCCCACTTTCTCTGTGCAAAATAATTCTAGCTTTAGATTTTCATCAACAGGAGGAGGAACATAAAAGAACAAAAATGGTGTCAGTGGGCTTTTCTGCCAGTAAGGTCAAGGTTTCAGGCCTGGTAGCTGCAGAATCAAATAGAACAATGGCAACAGTGCTGTTCTGAGACCACAGATGCTCTTCTCTGCTCTTGCTCCCAGGAGCCATTTTGCAGATGTAAACCACTGGTCCCAGGGAGATCAGGGGAACGGAGTAGTCCATTTCACTGCTGAAAAAATGGGTTCATCGAAGCTCATCTGTCGGTGAGGGTGAGGACTATCACCTTCTCATATTAAAGGCAGCACTTTGAAAAATGAATCAGGGTTTCTTTTCATTTTCTTATTGTTCCCCTTTTACTGGAGCGTAGGACGAGTGACCAAAATATTAAGTATTTATCTTCGTGGGCTGAGAATTTCCTTTGAGTTCTCAGTATCAGGGAAACAAGCAAATGAGAAGGCTCAAGAACTGTCTTAAAAGAGGAATTAATGGGACAAGCAGATGGTGTAATGATTATGTTGCTGGACTCCTACATGGCCGACCACAGTTCAAGTCTTGGACCTGGTAGCTAGAAACTCATGCCAGGCATATTTGCATGTCTGCCCAAAATCCCAAGAGGAGAATGGAGGAGAAGGGATTGTGGCATGACATGACCATCTTCCCTGGGGGGTGATTTGCCACTTTCTCTCTCTGTCTCTGTCTCTCCAGTGAGTACACACACCGTATAGCCAAAATCTCTCTTAAAAAAAAAAAAGGAAGAATTCAGTGTTTGTACAGTTTAACAAAGAATCACAGGGTATATATAAGTGCAAACTACAGGTTTACTCTGTTCATTTCAGATGTTCTTTGTGTGTTCTTCTAAATATTGCAGCACTATTTTCTATATAGTTTCAATTAGTATAGAGTCATAAAAGCTTCTTTGCAGTTTTTACAATTATATCTTTTTTCAAGAATTTTTTAGTTTAGTTTTTATTTATTATTTTAATTTGCTATAGGACACCTGCACTCACCAGAGAGAGACAGAGAGAGAAAAAGTGAAAAAGCAAGCCACCAGGTCTGGGACTCAAACCACGGTCAGGCACATGGGAGTCTAGCACCCTAACCACCACACCACCTGCTGGCCCCATATCTTTTTGTTTTTCTTTGAGAGATTTTTGCCATAGGGCATGTGTGCTTTCCAGAGAGACAGAAAGAGACAGAGAGACAGAAAGCAAGAAAGGGAGGATGGCCATGCTGCAATCCATTTTCTTCCATTCTCCTCTTGGAATTTTGACATGCATGCATACGTACCTGGCTTGTTTTTTAGTTGCTGGGTGTGGGACTCAAACTGCAGTTGACTATGTGGGAGTCCAGCAACATAACCGTTATGCCATCTGTAGGCACCATATCTTTTTGTTTTTTAACTGAAAATATTTAATTTTTCATTATGGTAAAATATACATAACATTTACCATCTTAACCATTTTTAAGTGTACAGCTCAGTAGCTTTAAGTATATTCACTTCATTGTGTGAAGAACCTTCAGAATTTTTCCATACCCAATAAATAGCCACTCATCATTCCTCTCCTCTCCCAGAGCCTCACTCCAGCCCTGGACAACCACCATTCAGCTTTCTGTTGTTGGATGAATATCCATTATGTGAAATGCTTGAGATCAGAAGTGTTTAGGATTTTATTGGGTTGTCGGGAAAGTTATGACACATTTTTCTATGTAAAAATGTAAAACGTAAAAAAATTAAAAATTAAGAAATGTAAAAATATAAAAACTTGCAGAAATGTGTCATGACTTTTATGACAATCCAATAGAATTTTTTTCTCCCAGATTCTGGAATATTTGCGTGTGTGTGTGTGTGTGTGTGTGTGTGTGTGTGTCAGTCTTACACATGAATTTCATTTGTTTCATATGTATACATCTTGTACACATAGCATGAGGGCAATTTTATACAACAGTTTTGTAGTATAAAATTTGACTACAGTCTGCTACATGGGGCCTTTTCATATAAAGAACTACTGGAATTTTCCAACCAGACCATTGGGTTTTTCCTTTTAGAACAGACTCTTCATTCCCCTGGTTCCCCCAAGTTTATGTTGCCCCTCCGTTGACTGGTGGAAGACAAAAGTGAAAGGAAAAGTGTATCGGACTATGCATGTAAAATGGAATAGTGGTTTAAAGCCAGGCTGCTTTCTTCCCTTCATTCCTCTTTCACATGTTAAAATGATAGGCACTACCAGGTTGGGGGAGGCTGAGACAGGAAGAAAGACATGCCACGGTACTCACAATCCTGCCTTTGTAAGTCCTCGCTCTGCAGGTTTATTTGAATTAGTTTATTTTCTTAAGATCACCTTTATCAGCTGTTGTATATGAGATGTATGATGACCTTTTCCAGGACCATTATTTTATGCAGGAAAATTACCTCCCTCTCTCCCTCCTTCTCAACCTCAAGTGTGAGGACCTTCCAGTAATTATCCTTCAGAGTGTGTGTGTGTGCGGAAGGGAATCTTAACTGGAAAATGAAGCTGTGCTGTAAACGTGAGGTCATATCAGCTTCCACTCATCTCTCATCCCAGTGATTAGAAATTGAATATTATTTTGCTTCTCCTAGTTTTGGCAAGTGTCTAAAATAAAAACAGTAGAGGATACCGTGGGTCTTCCAGTCTGGCAGCGCTCCAGCTATGGTTAGTAAAGAGATAAGTCACCTGTCACAGCAATCTCTAGGACAGAAAAGCTCTATAGCATGCCTGGAGCCAGCCTTGGTATTCACTCTGTCACTTCTTGTTTGAAATCTAACTGAAGTGCCTAGTGAAATTAAATAGCAAACATGATCAAAATTGCATAAAAGAGAAAGTGTTGCTGATTTTTTTTTTTCTTTTCACTCTCTAAATCTGTTTTCAGGTTTTTGTCTTGGTACATTTTAACTAGCTTTTAAAAAGTTCAATGTAGGAACCAGCAGATGGCGTAATGGTTACACTGCTGGATTTCCACATAGTTGACCTCAGTTTGAATCCTGGACCTGGTGGCTTAAACCTCATGCTGGGCATGTGTGCCCAAGATCCCAAGAGAAGAATGGAGGAGAAGAGATTGTGGTGTGGCCATCATCCCTGAGGGGGTTATTTCTCACTTTCTGTCTCTCTGTCTCTCTAGCAAGTACACATGTCCTATAGAAAAAATCTATCTCTCTAATCAAAAAGAAAGAAAGAAGTTCAATGTAATTTTTTCTGTAATTTGGGCTTCAGAATTTGTCCTCAACCTACCCACTGCTTTATTACTAAGTTCAGTAGACCTTTTGTGATAAAAATGTGCTTCAGCAGCCCTATCATGTAATATTCTTCAACTGTAAAATAGAAAGTCTGTTTTGAAATGGTCATACATCAACTCATTCATAAGGTTGAGAATCAGGACAAAGAATTCATATTGTTGGAGAAAGTTATTATCTGAAAGGCAGTGCTCTGTAATCTGAGGAAATAATGGTCTTGTTTCAAAGGTTTTTTTTAGTGGAATGTGGCATTTTTGAACCCATTTGCCATATCCCTAACTCGAGCTACATAGAAGAAAAGGGTGGCTTTACTGGTACTTTAACTTTCCATGGTGTAATGTCTGTTACTCATCAAAATCGTCATGTACTGGGACCAGCAGTTAGTGTAATGGCTATATTGCTGGACTCCCATGTCGTCAACCACGGTTCGAGTCCCGGCCCCGGTGGCTTAAATTCACGCTGGGCCCATGTGCGTGTGTGCCCAAGATCCCAAGAGGAGAATGGAGGAGAAGGGATTGCGGCGTGGCCATCCCCCCTGGGGGGTGATTTCCTGCTTTCTGTCTCTCTGTCTCTCTCTGTCTTTCTGGCGAGTGCATGCGCCCTATAGTGAAAACCTCTCCTCCCCCAAAAAAATATCGTCATGTACTGAGCAACAGAATGTTGTCAGATGTAATAAAATGCTACACAGAACTTAGTAGAATGCACAAATATGACACTAAAAACTAGCATCCATTATGGACCCTGGCGCTTTGGTTCTAGGCCTGGAAAGATATTGCTTCTTGAATATGTATTTCAGTAAATATCCATGATTAGCATGAGAGAGAAAATTCAGGGGGTGAGTGTGAATAAAAGAGTAGTTTTAAATTGTTGATGTGCTTGATCGAGACAATATACAGTGTACCCTGGATGGAAAATCTCATTTTGTATGCTGCAATGATGTACAGTGAATGAATGCAAATAAATAAATTTAAATAAAACATAAATAAATAAATAGTAGGGAAGGTTATGTGTGATACTGACATCTGTGATTGCCTAGGGAGTGGCTTATCAGAACTTGAAAGTTAGAGGTGAATATCAGCTGTTTTCAGCACCTATAAGTGAAGTGACCCCCTTCTAGTTAGTGAAGTGGCATCTCCCTTAGACAGCAGCTTACCCACCGAAAGAGTAGCATGTGTCAATGTTGATTTCCGAGGTTGATACTGCAAGCAGGAGGGTTTCAGTATGGGGGACTTCCAGAGCCTCATTTGTTCCCTTCCCTGCCCCTCCCACTGTTGTGGTTATAGCCTACGCCCACAGTGTATAAATTATCGGTCTGTCATGGAATGGCATCTTAGTTGCATGTAACTTGTAAAAACAAAAACAAAAAAAATTAAAAAATGGATAGATGGGGAGTGGGAACAGCTAGCTACCTTTTTTTACAAATAGATATCACACATAATATGGTTCCTTCTGTTCAATACATTTTTGCCTTGGGCTGTAGAAGGTAAAGAGTCATTTTCCAAAGGGGAAAAGTGGTAGAAGAAAATCTTTCGCATCGCCTTCAAGCAGGTAGAAGTTTGTGGGGATTTTGGGTGCCTTTCAGGTACTTGAGAAACGTTTTATCTCATTTTATGACATAATTTCCCCCTATAAGAACATAACCTGGGAGAATTGGTACGTTGTAAACATAATGATCTGGAGAGGGTATTCTCCTTTCTGAATTTTTAATGGATATGCGGCCATCTGCTGTTCCATATGGAAGTGTTATCCTCTCCTGCATCGGAGCCAACAGTCAGAAGCCAAAACAACAGGAGGAGGCAGCCGCCCTGTTCCTCATGGTTTTACCTTTTATAGCATTACCATGGTTCTTGCTTTATTGAGAGTTCAAGTTCCCTGTTGTTGTGTCTAAGGTCACGAAACGTAGAGTGTGACCACCTGAAAAAGTGAGTGGGTAGAGAGAACCCCTTAAGAAAATGGTGTAGTAATATAGTAAATGCACACTCTCTTAAAGTAATTTCATTGCATTTTATTTTGTGAGGCATAATATATGTTAAAAATATTTTCCTGAGTTTTGAATGATCCTTCTGAAACCTCTAGCTGTTACTTCTTCCTCTTAATTAGGGTTTTTAAACGTATTTTTTCCTTGCATGTGTGTGCTGTTTGTTAAAGACTTTAGTGAATACTCTGTGGATGACGAGTGCTTAGTGAAGTTACTTAAAGGATGCTGTCTCAAGAACTTACAGCGGCCCCTGCAAGCTGAACTGTGTTTCAATCATGTTGTGGAAAGGTAAGAGCAAACAGTAAGACCAGCCTGGGTGCAAATTGTGGTTTCTGGGGATTTGCCATGAGAAAGCAGCTCAAAAGGCTTTTATTGGCTGCTGCTAAACTTGTACTTGATGTTACCAGAAAGAGAAGTTAGTAGTGCTTTCTTGGTCTTTCCTGAACAAAATTATGGTCTAACTGGAACATGCCTTTATGCATTTCTACGTCATGTTTAAAGATGAGCCAAAAAACTAAATTTACAGCCTAGCTAATCGGTGTCTTTGGAAACCGGTGGCAGTATACGGAGCCTCTGACACTCTTCTCGTTCATGCATTTGCTTGTCCACGCATTTGTTCCACAGACACTCAAATACCCATCGTGTGTCGGACTCTGCTGGATCCTAGGGATTCCAAGTTAGGTAAACAGACTTGCTATCATTGTGATGATAATTTGGCAAGGATGGGGACCAGCAGTTGGCATAATGGCTATGTTGCTGGATTCCCATGTAGTCAGCCGTGGTTTGAGTCCTGGACCCGCTGGCTTAACCTCACACCAGACACATGTGCGTGTGTGCCCAGGGTCCCAAGAGGAGAATGGAAGAGAAGGGATTGTGGCCATCTCCCCTGAGGGGTGATTTCTTTCTATCTTCTGGCAAGTGCATGCACCCTATAGCAAAAACTTCTCAAAAAAAAAAAAAAAAAAAAAAAGAAAGAAAGAAAGAAAGAAAAAAGAAAAGAAGTAGGAAAAAAAATAATTTGGCAAGGACAAAAGACCAGTAATGACTGCTATAATGGTGTCTCTTTGGACAAAGGGCATTTCTTCTGTACATAATGGGGTTTTTTCCTTCTAGTAGCTTTGATGACAATGTCCTGCTCATTTGTTAACTGTAGAGATGAATAAAAAAAGAAAGAAAGAAAGAAAGAAAAAAGAAAAGAAGTAGGAAAAAAAATAATTTGGCAAGGACAAAAGACCAGTAATGACTGCTATAATGGTGTCTCTTTGGACAAAGGGCATTTCTTCTGTACATAATGGGGTTTTTTCCTTCTAGTAGCTTTGATGACAATGTCCTGCTCATTTGTTAACTGTAGAGATGAATCAAGTTTCTGAGGATTCGCTCTCTTCTCAGTATCCCAAACTTACATATCTGCATAGCCCAGACAAGTAACCTCACCAGATGCAGCAGGCTGAGTAATGGCAGGAATAGGGATTGGTGGGCACTGTAGATAAGGCCTGTGCTACATCTTTTTAAAATTTATTTTTTTATTATTATAATTTTAAAACTTGCTATAGGGCATATGTGCTTACCAGAGAGAGACATGGAGGAAGAGAGCGAGAGAGAGAGGGAAAGTGAGAAAGCAAACCACTAGGTCTGGTACTCAAACCATGGTCAACTATGTGAGAGTCCAGCACCTTAACCACCACACCACTTGCTGGCTGCTATGCATTGTCTCTTAAGGGAGCCGCCACTCCTCAGCTCTAAGTGATCACTGTTCTGTACAACGAGGGCCCAGTAGCAGTAATACCTACCGTTTTTCATGAAAAGCTTAGAATCTGGATTTTATGTAAAATCTCCTGATTTTTTTTTTAATTTAATTTTTTTGGGGGAGAGGTTTTTGCTATAGGGCGCGTGTGCTCGCCAGACAGACAGAGAGAGACAGAGAGATAGAAAGCGAGAAATCACCCCCACTGGGGGGATGGCCACGTCACAATCCCTTCTCCATCATTCTCTTCTCGGGATCTTGGGCACGCACGCACACGCGCCCAGCGTGAGTTTAAGCCACCGGGTCCGGGACTCGAACCACGGTCAACTATGTGGGAGTCCAGCAACATAGCTAACTGCTGGTCCCTAAAATCTCCTGATTTTTAAAGATTGGCCCAAATATTTTGAAAACACCAAATAAACCAAAAAGGTCACAGCCATAGACTACTGGTTGACCATCTGTATTCATATCATGTGCTTTTCTGTCCATGGCCAACCGATCCCCTTCTTCCTAATAATATTTATGGGAATGGGAGAGGACTGATGTCCTTATAATAAGCAAATTAAAATATTTAATTCCCAATAAGTAATATACCGTATTTAGAAAACATATTGAAATATCCATGGAGTTTAGTTTAATTTTTTTTTCTTTTTTGGAAGAATCAAAAGGGTGACTAATTTGTGCTATTTGTGTTTATCAAATCTCATAGTGAATTGTTTATTCATGTGTTTTATAATTTTGAGTTATGAACTCACCTTTAGTGGGGTTTTATCTCAAACTTCCTTGGAGGCTATATGCGGGAAGAGTCTATGGTGATTTTATATTTATTTCTGCCAGGTATCCTAAAGGCTTTTTCAGTCTAGGGCCATTTTCATGTTAGTTTCAGTGCTTACTGGTTCTTGGATTATTTGGGTAATGTTAATTTAAATTGAAAATTTATATGAGAGCAAGTCTATTGGTTACTCATTTCCTAAGAAATGTGTTTTTTTTTTCCTACCCTTCATAAATACAGTCCAGGGAGACAACTGTCTTTTTCCTATACCAGGATTTTTATTTTTTCTCTCTAAATTTGCTCTTTCTTCAAAAGAGTAACCCTTTAAGGGTTCCAGGCTTAAATAGAGATCACATTTCCAGCTCCCTACTTCCTGGGGACCCATGGCCTTATCTCTTACAGAACATGAAGATACAGCATCCTAGATGATTCTGATGGAAGCAGACCAGGGTTCATTCCGCATCATCCCACATACTTAACGACTCTCCTCTTTCTGTTCTAGCTCTCTCTCTCTCTCTTTTTTTTAATGGGCTGGTAAGCTAAGCCTATTTTTTTCAAGATTTCTTGATGTTTCGTAGCTAGAGAACTTTCATAATGTTGCTGAAAACAGAACATTGGCAACTTGTCTTTATTGACATTTTTGAGCATTGTAAGACTTTAAAATACAAAGGAGTTGAACCTTAGTTAAAAGGTTTTTTTTTTGTTGTTTTTTTTGGTTTTTTTTGGTAATTTACCAGAGGGTATGTGCACTCTCTCTCTCTCTCTCTCTCTCGAAAAACAGAGAGTAAGATAGAAAACAAGAAAGCAAGCAAGCAAGAAAGAAAGCTAGCCTAGCTAGCAAGCACACACGCACCCATAGAGGATGGCCATGCTGCAATCTCTTCTCTAGGATTTTGGGCATGTACACATGCCCAGTATGTTTCTCAAGCCTCTAGGTCCAGGACTTAAACCACGTGTTTGGCCATATAGGATCTAGCTTCCTTAAGCACCATGCCACTAGCTGGCCCAAGCTTGCTTTCTTCTTTCTTTCTTTCTTTCTTTCTTTCTTTCTTTCTTTCTTTCTTTCTTTCTTTCTTTCTTTCTTTCTTTCTTTCTTTCTTTCTTTCTTTCTTTCTTCCTTCCTTCCTTCCTTCCTTCCTTCCTTCCTTCCTTCCTTATAAGAATTATTTATTATTATTATTGTTTTAAAACTTGCTATAGGGCATGTGCATGCAGACAGAGAGAAAGAGAAGGAAAGTGAGAAAGCAACTGGCAGATCCGGGACTCAAACTGCAGTTGTTCGTATGGGAATCCAGTGTCCCAACTAGCTCACCACCTGCTGCTTTCATATTTCTTAATGAAGGTGCTTGTGGACACATTTATATACAGAAAGATGATCGTGAGTTTTTTTGCTACAGGGTACATGCACTCGCCAGAGAGACAGAAAGTGAGAAATCACCCCCTGAGGGAATGGCCACGCCTCAATCCCTTCTCCTCCATTCTCCTCTCAGGATCTTGGGCATGCACACACACACACACACACACACACACACACCCAGCATGAGTTTAAGCCACCGGGTCCGAGACACGAACCGCAGTCGACTACATGGGAGTCCAGTGACATAGCCATTACACTAACTGCTGGTCCCTCCAGGGTTAATCTTTAAGGACTGCATGAATTTATTTGCCTAAGAGGTACTGTACAATCATTAGGACTGGATTTACATTAAGCAATAAAAGATTGATATATGAAAAGCATATTATTTATTGCCATAGTTTATTAAGTTCCATAACTATATAGTGGCAGCTTTACTCTGATCATAGGCTTAGTGCTGTACCTATTTTCTGAGGAATAAGGATTTATATATATGTCAAAAAGAATGATCTGTTTCTTATTCTCTTTATTGCTATTCATTTGCTCTTTCAGTGAAAAGCTTTTGAAGTATGACCACTACCTGGTGCCGTTCACTCTGTTTGAGTTGGCATTTCTGTATAAAAGCCAAGGGGAAATTGAGAAGGCTTTAAAGGTCCTAGAAACGGCAAGGTAGGTGAAGAGAGCAGTTTTTTCTGATTGCTGTGAAGGTAGGAGCATCGATGCTGTTAGATGCTGTTATAACAGCAGCAGTAAATTATATACTTAAAAGTGAATAGAGTGATGCAAAGTTAATAATAATGTTACTTTTGATAACTTATGCTTAACTTACGCTCATGGCTTTTTGTGTGATTGGGCTGTTTCTGCCTCTTAATGCCTCACTCTGTGACTGTTTACATATGTGAATGCAAGCATCTAAGAGATTTCTCACTTATTTTCTTCTAGATTGGGTTATACTTTTTTTGTAAATGTCCACATAGGAAATATTTTTGGCTTTATAGGACAAGATTTCCCTTGCAACCCGTCAATTAAACCAAATGGAAGATAATATGTAAATAAAGGGGTATGTCTAGATTTAGCTGTTGGTCGTAATTTGCTGACCTTTGGTGTATTCAACCATATCTATCATTTCCTTGAAGAGCCACTGACCTCTTGAAGTTTTTTTCTTTTCCCTTAAAAAAGACAGGGTCTCACTATGTCATAGTCCTGACTACAGATTTGTGCCGGTATGCCTGGCTCTTTTTCTTAAAGCCTACCTTCCTTTTTGTCCTTCCTTTCTTCCCTCTGTTTGCTCTCTCTTTCTTTCTTTTGAGAGAGACAAGAACCTTCTACAGGGTCTCATGCTGTGACTCTCACCCTGGCCTTTCCTAACCAGCCAGGTTTATAAGTAAGCATGCACACGACCTGCTGTGTACAGGCCAAACCAGACACCAGGCCCTGAGCTCTCCTAGGGCTTTCAGCATCTCAGAGCATTGTACTGTTGTCGTGCCACTGCAGCTAGGGACTAGGCTCCAACTCTGTTTTAGACAAAGTGTTGCTGTGTTGCCCAGGCTAGCCTCAAGCTCCAGAGCTTCCTACCTCAGCTTCTCACACTACTGTGGTTACAGGCTCGTGCTACCATGCCTGGACTGGAAATTGAAACTGGGCCTCCCATGTGGTCTCACCCTATGGAGAACAGTGTCTTAGCAATGTGTACCACTGCAGTTGGGTCTCATGAACTCTCTCTTTTTAAAAGAGTTATTGATTTAATTTAATTAATTTACTACTACTATTATTTTTACATTTGCTGTAGGACACGTGTGCTTGCCAGAGAGACAGAAGGAAGGAGAAAGGGAAAGTGAGAAAGCAAGCTGCCAGGTTGGAGACTTGAGCTATGGTCAACCATGTGGGAGTCCAGCACCCTAATCACCATACCACCTGTCAGCCCCTCATGAAACTCTCTGAAACTGTCATGGTAGATGGAAAGAAGAGGGTCATGGGAATATCAAAGTGGTTTATTGTGCTACTCAGTGACTCTTCCACTTGTTCTGAGGGCTCGCTTAGGTGGGACAAAAGCTCTAGTAGTCTGTTTGCCTCCATACTTTCTACAGTGGAGAAAGAAACCCATAATAACTCTAGGTCATAGTTTCATGACTCATTGGCTTTTTTGTTTGATTTATTTTTTTTAATTGTCAGAAGGGTATGTGCTTGCCAGAGAAAGACAGAGAGAAAGAAAAAGAGAGGGAGAAAGCACTTCTCAGTAGGGTGTGCTCATGCCACAACCCTTTCTCCTCCATTTTCCATCCCATTGAGATATGGGCACACACACACTTGTCCAGTGTATTTTTCAAGCTGCCAGGACCAGAACTTGAACTGTGATCAACCTTGTAGGATCTGGTTTTGTAACCACTAGGCTATACAATAGGCTACAAGGCTGATTTTTTTTTTTAATTCAAATTTGGCAAATATTTACTGAGCACCTAGTATGTGGCCAATACTAGAGAGATAACCATAAACTAAACAAGCAATATTTCTGCTCTTGTAGCCAGAGGCAGACAGGAAAAATATCAGTGATAAATGTTTTGCTGAGATTTACAATGTGATACAGAGTATCTGAGTATTATATTAGATTGGATTGATTCTAGAAGATTGTTATGAGAAGGTAGTATTGTATTGGGTTGTCAGAAAAGTCCTGACTCAGAAAAACATAGAAAAATACATCATGACTTTTCCAACAACAAAATAGTTGAGATTTGCTTATTTAAAAAGAGTTCTAAGAAGGCCAGTCACCAGAAGACTTGAGCAGTGAGCACTTCTGGCAGAAGCCACAGCTAGGAAACCTATAGATTTAGGGTTGAGTCACTAGGTCGCTGGTACTAATATTTACTGAGATGGGGACTTCTTAGAAGAGCAGGTTTGGGAAGAGAAAGGAGCATACTTCTGTTTGAACAAAGATACTTTGAGGTGGCTACCGGGTATTCCTGTGTAGTTGGGAGGGTAGCAGCATGGAGCTGAGTGGTAAAGTCAGGGCTGAGTGTAGAGATGTGACTTGAAGTTCACCAGTACAGAGATAGTAATGTTTAAAACCATGGTGCCTGACTAGGTCGTTTTTGGAAATTTATATAGCTAGAGAAAGGACTCTAGCCCATTGCCTACGTTATACCATCTTTTTCTTTATTTTTTAGATTTTTGCCATAAGGTGTGTGCACTTGCCAGAGAGACAGAGAGAAAAGAAGTGAGAAATAGTCTCCCCGGCAGATGGCCATGCTACAGTCCCTCCTTCTCCTCTATTCTCCTTTCAGGATTTTGGGCGCACATGCATACGTGCTTGGCGTGATTTTCAGGCTGTTAGGTTTGGGACATGAATCACCGTCGGCCATATGGGAGTCTAGCATCTTGACCACCATGCTACCTGCAGGCCCCATGATTTTAGAGATTAAATAATAAGAGTAAGAAGATTAAGTTGTTCTTAATAAGTTGAGTGAGTTAGGAAGATATCCAGGAATGTCAGTTTAACAACTTGCTTAAAATGAAGACGATAGTTGTGAGACGGCTACGGAGAGAGAAGTCAAGGAAAAACCAGAGAAGTGGCTGCCGAATTTGGCAAATGCAGATAGATCACTGTGGGCTGAGAAAAGAAATGGAGTCAGTTACTTTAGGCAACTCTTAAAACATTTCCTGTGAGTAAGCATGGTAATGGGGCAGAAGCTTGGGGGCATGGTGAAACCAACTAGGGGTTGATAAAATAAAAAAAAAAAATATATATATATATATGTGTGTGTATGTGTGTGTGTGTGTGTGTTGTAATTGTTTCATGAGGGTTTCAACATTTTTTGGTTTCATTTTGTTTTTTAAATGACTGATCATGTTTACCATGTTCAAAGTTCATTCGTGTATAGGAGCCTCCTTAAACTTTACAATTTTAAAAAAGGAAGTCAAACTATTTAGAGATCACAAAATTTGTTAAGCTTCTCTTGTCACTTTCTTGGTGTGTTTGTGAATGGCTTGGTAATTAAGTAGAACCTTGCTACTGAAACTGTGATTTAAACTAGATCACTACCGGGAAGTTTCTAGAAATACAGATTATTGCTGTCCCTCCTCCCCTGAAAAATCATTAACTGCATTTTACTAAAATCCACTATTATACATGAATGTTTGAAGTAAATTAGGGGGATACAGAAGGAGAAGGTGATGGTACCTTGTTTTACAGATTGTACAATGTTCTGTTTTTATTTTCAGAAACAACTACAAAGATTACTCCTTGGAGTCCAGACTGCATTTCAGAATTCAGGCAGCTCTTCACCTCTGGAAAACACCTTAGATGATCAGGACACTAAGGATGGAATTTTCCCTCGGTTAACATCAGAATCTGCTATAGATTAAACCTTGCATTCAAGTGAAAAAGTGATCTTGTGAACAAGAGACAAAAAAACCCCAATTTTATTGTCAATATTTTCTATGATCTTAGTGCTTTATTCTTGGTCTATATAACTTTTTTTTCCTATGAAATGATGTTCAATACTATCTGGAAAATTCTTATATTTTGCCTCTCTGAAAAGATTTTCGTATTAGAGTTGAATGGGGGAGGGGTGGGGTGGTGAAAAGTCTTTTAAAAGACTTAAACCTACAACAAAGTCTAATTAGATTGTTTATTTTTTTAATGTGGAAATTAATATTGTTTAAGTAGTAAATGGTTTACCAAGTGAACCATTTTTAAATTTGTTGGTCAGTTAAACTTCAGAGATGTTTTGTTGCCTAGTTTTTAAATTTCAGAGGGGGGATAAATTACTTATTCAAAGTAGCTTTTTAGTAGTGACCTCTGAAGACTTCTGAAAAAGAGCATGAACAGAGATAGGATAATGTACTTATAGGTTGAAGAGACCTATATTTATAAGATAATGAGATATTAAGTTATTCTTTTTTTAACTATATGTTGGCTAATGGTGGTGACATTTTTGAGAAATTATTCTGGTTTTGAATGTACTTAATGATCTCTGTTATAATAACAAAATTCAAAAAACCCAGTGTATCTCAAGGGAAGAAATAGTAATATTTTAGAAATTATCCTTAGCAACAAGAGCCTAAAATATATACTGTTGATTATTTTTCTGATAGGAAACAAAGTAAAGTTCCTGCTGCTTTAAATATGTAAAATATTAATAATTTTTACACTTACAATGTTGGTGAATAAGTTCTAATTTTCTAATTTCTCTAGCACTGTGATGGTTCCTTATAAATACTTGGACTGTGCTTAGTCCTTCGATTGAGAAACAGAATTGGGATACAGCAGAAAGAACCCACCTCTGTGTGGCCCTGGCTCTGCTACAGGTTAGCAGTTAGTGGGGGGATCTTTAGGGAATCAGCTGCTTTCTCTGCCTCACTGTATTTTCCTCATCTAAGGAGTGGAAGAAAGCAGTGACTTTCAAGGTCTCTTTTAGTTTTATAACTGAGTCTGTGAATTAGGTGTTTTCAATGATCAATGTTAAATGTTTAATCCAAAGCATTCCCACTTAGACTGTGTTTTGTTTTTCAGTCCTTATCGGGTCCCCTTTTCCCCCCACTCCACATATGTATGGGTTGTGGCTAAGACCAGATTGCCCACAGAGTGAAAAAAAGTGATCTGTGAGTTGGTGAATCTGGTTGGATCCTATTTCTGTTTTGGGGAATAACTTACCATGGGAGTCTCTATGGTTTAACAGGAAAAGACCCAGACTGGGAGTCAGGAGTCCATCAATGTTGGTTAATAATCCCATGACATGGAGTAAGGGACTCACCTTTTCTTTCTTTCCCTTTTATTTTATTTAGAGATTTTGCTGTAGAGCACATGAGCTGGCTGGAGAGACAGAGAGACGAGAGAGACAGAAAGTGAGAAATCACCCTACCAGGAGGGATGGCCATGTCATAGTTCCTTCTCCTTCCAAATCCCTTGGGATTTTGGCCATGTACACACACATGCCCGGCATGAGCTTCAAGTCGCAGGGTCTGAGACTCAAACCACGGTCGACCATGTGGGAGCCCAGTGTCTTAATCACCACACTACCTCCTGACTCTGGGCCTCACCTTTTCTAAGGCCCAGTTTTCTCAGTGAGTAGCAGCAGATTACCTGTTCCTCCCAAGGGTTGATTACATAAAGCACGTGATATCTTTTTATAAACAGAGTGGTTCTGAACAAGTGTACATTTCTGTAATAATCATGGTTTTGAAGCACTAATTACAGGATCAGCATAAAAGTGTTGTCTGAGTCTCAGGTCTTTACTGTAAAATGAACGAAGTGTGGAAATTAGAAAACCTTTAAATGTTTGGCACTGATAGTAGCCCAGATTGGAAATTTGCTCCTTGCTGTCTTTGCTGCTGTCTTTGAGTTTGTTTTTGGTGGTGGTTTCTTTAAGGGATTGGTTCTTGACTAATACCGAGGATGTATTTCCAATGGAAGATGATGAATACAACTTGAGTCAGAGTACCGTCCCGTCAGATAGTATGGAGGTAGATATCAATGTCTTATTAATATTCATTATGTAACTTTACCTTAGAAACACACAAAAAGATATAAAATAATTAAGTCTCATTATAATTATTAGTAGGAAATATGTTCAAAAATGATTTTGCATATTACTTTGGGAAAAGGTTCATAAAGAAACTTGAGATTTTTGGTAGCATTGTGCTTTAGAGCATATATACCCGTAATACTCTTAGAAGCTGCAATTAATTAGCTGAAAGTTAGTAAAAAATTTTCTTTCCAGTATAAAATGAAAACATTTTAAGCTAAGAGTGCTTCTTGCTTTATTTTAACTCTTCATTATCAAACAAATACAACTTTATCTCTCCCATATAAATTTCTTCTTTGTTACTTTTTCTTATTTTTTTATTATTTCTTCCTATTCTTTTTATAGTTACTTAGTAATATAAATACCCAGTGGATTTTTAAGTACTATAATTTCATTAATGCTACAAATATTTATCTGTATTAAGTTCAAGATATTATAGTGGTATCAGTTTCTGGTGACTTTAGTTAATACTGCATTTTTTGGAGTTATTTTGTGATTTAGGTATTCTGTAAAGAATGAATACTGAAGTGGCAATGGTTTATTTAATCTTTTGAAAGGCATATATAATAGGGTTAGATTGCAAGTGTGTTTTTGAGTGTAATCCCTAATATAATTGCCATTTTTAAAAATTTATTTTTTCAGCAGAGAGACAGGGTTGTGATGGGTGCTTTGTTAATTTAAATAGAGACATGGTTTCGACTTGACAGTTAACAGAAGATTAGCTACAGAGGCTCTTACGTAGATATATATTTTAAGAATTTTTATACTCCTGAATGCAAGAAAGTCTCACAGGGAAAAAGAAATGTATTGCTACTCTCAATACTCTTCAGAGGGCAAAGATAAGATAAGTAGGTAGAGGCATTAGGGAGGTAAATTCCAGATTAATCAGTGTCCAGGAAGATTTTTCATTATTGGTATGATTCAGCAGCCAAAAATAGTCTAACCAGCCTTTTTGCAGAGTTCTGAGTTTAGCTGAGTCATGCGATGGACTCACTTCTGTTTGTCCTGGAAACTCGGACTAGTTGAATTTTGAGGTCATTATATGATTCTTTGATCAGGGCTTCAAATCAGTATTATGTGTGTGAAAAAAAAAAAAGTGCCCTGCTCTCCCAAAAGGGAATGTTTCTTCTTTAAAGCTGCTGTTAGAGGTAGTCACATTGTGATAGATGTGAGCGATCCCTGCTTGTGATTCTACTTCTCATCCATTCCTTTAAAGTGAGTCTGTTGAACTTAGTGGACAGAGGTGGTTTTAGTTTACTGTTGTGTTGCTATCTGAGTACCACATACTGGGTAATTTATAAAGAGTGAAGGATCATTCAGCTCATGGTTCTGGAAATTCAAGGTTGAGGGACCACATCTGATGAAGGTCTTTTTGCTGATAGAGGTTCTCTGCAGAGTTCCAAGGTAGTGCAGGCCATCACATGGTGAGAGGGCAAACGTGTGTGTCAGTTGTGGTCTCTGTCCCACTTCTAATAAAAGCCACTACTGTTCAGTCATAGGAGTCCCACCCTGACGACCCTCTAATTTTACAATCGTTACCTGCTAAAGATGCCATCTCACAATACCATCATTACATTTCTGCCCTTTTTTTTTTTTTCTTTTTTCTTTTTTTGAGAGTTTTTTGCTATAGGGCACACGCGCTCACCAGAAAGAAAGAGAGACAGAGAGTCCAAAAGCGAGAAATCACCCCTCAGGGGGGATGGCCACACTGCAATCCCTTCTCCTCCATTCTCCTCTCAGGATCTTGGGCACGCACGCATACGCACCCAGCATGAGTTTAAGCCACTGGATCCGGGACTCAAACCGCGGTCGACTTCATGGGAGTTCAGTGACATAGCCAGTACACTAACTGCTGGTCCCCATTTCTGCCCTTTTAATGCTGTCATAATAGTAATACAAATTTAACATGAGAGTTCTGAGGGGACACATTTAAACCAGGGCAGACCTTAAGGATAATAAATTTTAAAAAGGTCCTTGTGACTATTAGAAATAATTTCTGAAATTACTCTGATGAATTCTTCATTGATTTCAGTATTTTTTTCCTAGCTATATTCTCCATATTTATAAATCTAAAATTCAAGCACATTGTATTAAAATGAGTTAACAAAGACTCCAGGCATTGTTCTGTGATTTCTCCGGCCTGGAATGGAGCTTAGGAGATTGTCTGGTCCTCTCCAGCCTCGGAACAGTATTGTTTTTGCTTCCTTCCTGCTCTGTCCAGTGTAGTAGCCATTTGTCACACATGGCTTTGAGCACAGCGAGGACATATGTTGGAGTGATGTTGCGTGTCTGACTGTCAAGGCGGCATTCATTCATACGTGCTGCACTTCTATTTAAAGGCCTTCCGATAGCCTGCTTCCTGGAGTTCTGGCTTCTGCTTTCTGCCCACTGTGATCATCTGATCGCCACGGTTCCATCATCAGTTGTGCTTTAAATACGTATCTGTGAAGTTTGCTATTTCCGTGTAAGTGCTCTCAAACTTTCATTTCATCATGTTTATTCTACAGATGAGCAAGGTCATTGACACGTTGGAACACTATTCTCTCCTCCTTCCAGCACTCCCTATGTACTAGTCAAAGAGACTTTATTTTAAGATTACTATTTTGATTTTACAAGACATATTTTGCTTTTTTACAAAGTGTAACTGAGTTGTAGAGGAGTGACTGTCATCTTGGGGATGTCTGTTGATTTCATGATTAAAAGATTATTTTCTGAAATCACATTATTCTGAAAAAAGTCTAGTGAAACCTTTCCAGTCTCTTTACATAATCAATGTTTCAACATTGGCTCAACAAGTCCAATACTAAGAATTTAAAGTTTTTTAGACACACATTATGCACTTAGAGAATAATTTGGCAGATGGTTTATTTAAAGTTATATGTTTTATACCCTTTGCTGCCATTATTTTTTTGATGCGAACGATACCTAAGTGGTATGCAAATATATACAATAAGACATGTATGTATGCATATGTCTTATTATATATAGCTTGTTTATATATAGTTATATGTGTGTGTGTGTATACATATATTAGTTTTTGCTATAGGGTGAGTCAATGCATTCACCAGAGAGAGAGAGGGGGAGAGAACATGAGAAATAATCCCCCAGGGTATGGCCATGCCACAGTACCTTCTCCTCCACTCTTTTCGTGGGATTTTGGATATTCATGCAACATGCCTGACAGTTTTCAAGCTGCTGGGTCCAGGACTTGAACCGTGAAGCTGGTTGTATTGGATTCAGCGCTGTAGCCTCCACGCCACCTGCTGGCCCACCTGCTGGCCATGTGGGACCCAGCGCCTTAGCCTCCATGTTGGCCCTTAGACATTTCTTCATCAGATGTATCTGTCTCTGTATGGATAAATAAATACAAAACAATTTCTATATTAAATAGACAATGTTTTATACTGTTCTTTCACAAGGAGTATAGGATTTTCTCCAGGTTTTTCTCTCTTCTCTAATCTAATTACGTATATTTTCTTTAAGTATTAAATTGCTTGTGGTAAAACTCTGTTCCTGTTTCCCATTGTAAGGAATTTTGTTGTTTATATATTTGTGGTTAGATTTAGTTCCTTTAGAAGGTTGACCTTGAAATATGAGGAAAATGACTCATTAGGATTTATCATCAGGGAA